TTTCAGGGTGAAGCGGCCGCCGGGTTCTCCACCTGTCTTCAAGGCCATTACGTGGCTCGTGGCTTCAGTCAGCGGCAGGGAGTTGACTACTTTCAGACCTTCTCTCCCACCCCGAAGATGACCACTCTTCGGGTGCTGCTGCACATAGCCGCTCAGCGCGACTACGAGCTTCACTCTCTTGACTTCAGCACTGCTTTCTTGCAGGGCAGCCTGCACGAGGAGATCTGGCTGCGCCACCCACTTGGCTTCACTGGGACTTTTCCTCCTGGCACCCAGTGGAGCCTCCGCCGGCCGATCTACAGTCTCCGCCAGGCACCGCGTGAGTGGCACGACACACTGAGGACTACACTTGCGGCTCTTGGGTTTGCTCCCTCTACTGCCGACCCGTCGCTGTTTCTGCGCACCGACACTTCTTTACCGCCGTTCTACATCCTCGTGTACGTCGACGACTTGGTCTTTGCCACAGCTGACACTACTAGACTCGCCCACGTGAAGTCCGAGCTGCAGAAGAGACACACGTGCACTGACCTGGGTGAACTACGCAGCTACCTTGGCTTGCAGATCACTCGGAACAGAGCACGCCGCACCATTACCGTGACTCAGTCACACATGGTGCAGCAGGTCCTTCAGCGCTTCGGCTTCACGTACTCCTCGCCCCTGGCCACTCCTCTGCCTACTCGCCACTCGCTCTCAGCTCTGCCTTCGGATGAGTCCGTAGAGTCGAGTGGCCCGTACCCAGAGCTTGTTGGCTGCCTCATGTACCTGATGACCTGCACATGACCTGACCTTGCATACCCTCTTAGCATTCTCTCACGCTATGTTGCTCATGGGAGACACCGACCAGAGCACATGGCTGCAGCGAAGAGGGTGTTGCGCTACTTGTGCAGTACGTCGGGCATGGGGCTAGTGCTTGGAGGGCGTAGTCCAGTGGTCCTCACTAGGCACGCAGACGCTTCTTGGGCTGACGACCAGGCTACGCAGCGGTCGTCACAGGGTTACACCTTCAGCCTTGGTTCTGGCTCTGTCTCGTGGCGGGCTACTCGCTCGTCTTCTGTTCTCGGCTCCAGTTGTGAGGCTGAGATCTACGCCGGGGCTATGGCTGCCCAGGAGCTTCGCTGGCTCAACTCCCCGCTGACTGACCTCGGAGAGCCGCCTCGTTCTCCTCCAGTACTGTACGTAGACAACAAGGCCATGCTGGCCTTGTGTCGAGAGCAGCGACTGGAGCACAGAACAAAGCACATTGCTCTCCGCTACTTCCTTGCTCGTGAGCTACAGCAGCGTGGACAGTTGCGGCTTGCGTACGTGGCCTCTGAGGCCAACACTGCTGATGTTTTCACCAAGGCACTTCCGCCTTGTGATCATCAGCGCTTCTGCACTCAGTTGGGTCTTGTCCCTGTCTTGCCTCACTTGCTCACCTCTTGACCTTGCTTGTACTGTTACATATATATACCTGCTCTTGCTTGTCTAGCCTTATATATATATGTACTCCTGCATGTGAACTGGCCTTGTGGCCTTGTACTTGTGCTCGGAATGTGTGGTGACTTTGTGATCCACCCTGAGCTTTGCTCTGTTTTGCTTTGCTTGACTGGTCTTGTGACCCCCTGTTCTCCCCCACTTTGCCTATGGGGGTGTGTCAGAACATTATAGCTTATGCTTTTGTGTAGGCTGTAGTGGAGTATCCCATAGGGGGTACAACCCAATTAGGGTTAGTACTTGTACCCACTTCATTCATAGTTCACTCATTCTCGTTTCAGTTTTTTCTCATTAGTCCCCACGGGGTCACCTCCAAGGGTCCTCGGATGCCTGGCAAGCGAGCCCTTAACCAAGGGTTCGTGTTTGTCGAGGGACACAATAAGTGTAATTTCGGTCGTGTGCAATAGAACGCTCCCAAACTCAGTTGCGCAGCGTTAGACGACGAATTGCCTCGTATGCAGAAGTCGCAAAAGGCGCGAAAGTCTGGACCAACGCGTGGGGTCCTGATACACACGCGTGTGGCCTGACAAGTAGTGCGCGTGTGTCGCCATTGTTTCGATCGTGCGATTGACTCGCGCGAGAAAAGTCAAAGGGCTCGGTCAAAGGCTCGAGCCCACTCCCCGACACACTCGACCCTCACCATGAACACTCATGAAAAATGCATGAACAAAGCATGAACAACCATGAAAGAAACATAAACAGTCATGAGCAAATATGAGCGCACATGAACGAATATGAGCGCTCGCACGAACAGCACGCAAACATTCATGAACACGCGAAGGACCATGAATATTCGGAACACCCGGAACTTCACGCACATTCATGACGCAACACGAACAACACGAAATTCACACGAACAATCATGAAAACACATGAATGCAACATCACAGAAACACACATAACATATGAACCGCTAAAGCGATTCACAAACCGTAAACACCAAAATGAGAAGCATACAAATGCGCATGCCACAAAACACAAATTACCTTAAAACAAAACCTTCAATTTTCACCTTGCTCGACGAATAGGCGACAGGTTGACGTGCAATACATTTTGCACCCAGCATTTTCAGGGTAGGTAAAAAAAGGACTGCCAAAATAAGGAATTTCAGGGTTTTTTTCCTGATATCTGAGGCCCTTTTCACATCTATACGGCAGCAGATTTCCTTGCTGCCAGCAGTTGAGGGGGTGTGGTAAGATGCTGCAGTCTAAATAAATTGTTTGTTGCGTAGGTTGTAGTGTAGATTAACCCGTCCTGTTGGTGTTGCACCTTGCTTGTAGCTTGCTTCTATTCCCTTAGTGTAGATTAACCCGTCCTGTTGGTGTTGCACCTTGCTTGTAGCTTGCTTCTATTCCCTATCTTCCTAATCCAACCGAAAACCTGTTTCTCTCGTCAACTTCCCCAACTTCCAAATCTTATCTCTTGTTTTCTAACAAAAACATATGGGACCCCCTCTAGGGCCTATTTTTGGATTTTAGGTACTCTGATTTCCAGAGTTGTTTTTTTCCCAACTCTGAAATCTAGGGTTGTTCCTGCGCCTTACTCTGATTTGTCAGAGTAACCCTATACTTTAAAACAAAAACCCAGGCACGTCAGAGTAATATTTTTCTCTACTCTGATGTTAGTTAAGTTTGGTGTACCATGACCTCAATAGGTTTTTGTTACGCCTTTTGTACTTGCATTTCCACGTCGCCCACGTTTCCCCCCTCACTGCGATGTTTCAGAGTGAGGTGTTGGCGGCACCGATAATCTGACTAAGGGCGTGTCCGAAGTGAAACGTCAATAGATGTCGCTGGATGTCGGTGAATGTCATCCCTCGGATCGACAGTTCCAACCGTCAGGATTGACCGACATCCCCAAACGGATGTCCACGGATGTCGACGTTTCACTTCGGACACCCCCAAAGAGCGTGTGTGAAGTGAAATGTCGACGGATGTACAGTTTCGTCGGGGAATGCTGGCAAATCTCAACCCTCGGATTGAGCGTTCCGACCGTCAGGATTCCTCGACGTCCCTCAAAGTTTTGTCGGGAAACGTCGACGTTCACCTCAGACATAAAGAGAGAAGGGACTGGCTGGCATCGTGCGCTGGTTGGGAAAGTTGTTAAACTACGGTAGCCAATCTGTGCTCATATTGCCGCCAACACACGACAGAAATCAGGAGAATGATCTCGATGATTCGGGGAAAACCCGCTAAACGCAGGGGGAGGTGGGGAGGGGAGGGGGGCGGGGGAGGGGGGGCCGGCAGGTATTCCCTATACAGAGTAAATTTGGTCCCCGGAAAAAAAACCCAGAGGCCTCAGAGTAAACTACAGCATAACTCTGGCAAATCAGAGAAATCGGAAGTCCCAAAAAAATTACCCAGCGGGTACAGAGTTACTTTAAAAAATGACTCTGATTTTCAGAGAAACTGAGTAATTTACTCTGAAAACGTGAGGCCTGACCCCCACCCATCGCACCAGTGAACGATAATGACAAGGCTGAATTTTGGGTGCAGCGATAACAAACTGTTGTGTGAATGAACTCTTGATTAGGTAATGCATGAGTATCTGTACAATACTACAAGAGTCCGTTCATGCACTCTTCAACTGGCATGTTTTCCGCCAAGGGTCCTTGTCGAGCTTGTAGTAGAGAATCTGCAGAAGGAAACCCAAAAGGAAACCCAAATGGAAAGACCAATTGAAAGCCGAAAGGGAAGGTGAACAGGAAGTTAGGAGAAGAGGGTGCATGATTGGGAGGAGAGAGTAGGTACAAATAGAATGTAAAGCAGGAATAGAGTACGAAGGGTTACGTTTTCCAGGCTTCGAAGGAGCTAATAATTTATCCTCATGTTATTTAGGGCATGTTCCTACGGCCCCTTATCAGGCCAACCTCTTATCAAGCTCGCGTCAAAACACACTGAAAATTTCATTAACCTAAAAACCCTCGCTACTTTTACCAGGCAAGGCTGGCAAGAGGTTTGCCTGATAGGAGCGTAGGAACATGCCCTTATATGATACATGTGTGCAATTTGCAACATATATGAGTGCACGAACGTACTGTGCTGACAATCATCCAAGCCATCAGAAGCCACACAATGCACTTGCAGAGTGTGCACGAGGCTGATTCCGTGCCGGCAAATACCGCTACACCGCACTTGCTGACAATCGTAAATCGAATATGCATGGAACTTACAAGCCAATGTGAGCCCTCCAGTCTCCTGACGCTCCTCCTCATGATGCAGTGAGTCGCACAGTGAGATACGGTACACCGGTAGTCACAAGGTTATTACAATAGCCACACCCACACAGGAGTCACAGCCCTGTGTGCAGTCACGAAACAGCACACAACTGCACTGCTTACAGTCACACACCTGTGTACAGTCACACACCTGCAAACAGTTATGCACCTGCATACAGACACTCCCCTACATACAGTCACAGTCACTCCCTGCATATAAGCACGTACCTGCATCAGTGTGTCGAAGGCATCATCAGATCTCCTCCTCTTCCTTTTTCTCCCTCCTACCACACCCCTTCTGACATAATTCTCAGCGAGCAGCCATACCCCTACAGACACACACCTGCATACAGTCACTCCACTGCACACAAGCACGCACCTGCATCAGTGTGTCGAAGGCATCATCAGATCTCCTCCTCTTCCTCATTCTCCCTCCTACCCCACCCCTTGGCCCCACACTGTCCACCCCACCTTCCATCCCCACCCAACTCCCCTCCTGCACACCCACCACACTGTCACCCCTGCCACGCCTCCACCCTTCTTCTCCTCCTCTTCCCCCTCCTCCTACTCCTCCCATACCCTCTCTTTCCTCCCCAGCCCCACCCACCCTGTCCTCTTCCCTGCCTCTGTCCTCCTCGATCCACTCCTCTAGTGCCTCTGCCCAGGCCATATGATGCCCGTGCTGCTCTCTCTGTCGCTTTGCCTCGAGCCGCATCACTCCGTGATACACCCACCGCTGCCACATGCGCTGGACTCCTGCCCATAGGTGCTGCACGCGGGGAGTGGGGAGCGACTAGGGCGGGAGAGAAGGGGTGGGGAGGGGAGAGAGAGGAGAGGGAAGAAGGGGCGAGGAGGGAGGGGAAGGGAGGATGAAAGGAGGAGGAGGAGTAGCGTGGGAGAGAATTTATCGGACGGACGATTAACCAACAAGTTGAGTGGTAACCTGTTTGGCTGTCACTGTGTCATGATTTGAGGTGACGTCTGAGTCAACTCAAAAGTCACCTCATAACCTGTTTGGCTGCCACTGTGTCATGACTTGTTGAATAGAGAGAAGATTGCAAGGCATGACTTGACTCGACTCGAATTGATTCGACTTGACTCGTGTTCATGTTTAGCCGCAAGATAATGTTGAAAACAAAAAAAAAGCCATTACAAGCAAGAACTTTATTGTGATGGTGTAGTAGTTCATCACACACTATTCTGGCTTACCCTTAGAATACTGATCATGCTGGATATATCCTCCTCTGCTATCCGCACAGTGAAATCCTCATACGAGAGGAAGTTTTCAAACGGCAAATGAATCCCATCCTAGCAAAACAGGAATTGGAGGGGGGGAAAGAACAAGATTAGGGAAGGAAAATGGTACTTGCTGTTGCACGGAAGGAGGGAAATAGCATGGAAGAGGAGAAATAGCACGGTAGGCAGAGAGGGAAGACGGGAAAGGAAAGGCTCCAAGAACTGGAACAGATGGGAGTGCGTAGGGTTGTTATCATGCTGTTAGGATGCTGGGGGCATGCAGGAGGCTGTTGTGGGCATGTGGTGGAGCTTGCAAGGAATTATGTATGTCATACATGCCATTACACACACGCCGGCACATGCATGATTATGCCTGTGCCGTGCAGCTGTGCGATGCAGCGATGTTCATGCATGAGCGCACACACATGCCGGCACACCTGCACGATGACAGGGATGCACCCGTGCAGCATCGCATCCTCCATGCGCTGGTTTGGATAAGGAAAGGACATTATGCATGCATGCAAGCACACACACGCCCTTTCACACACATGCCCTTTCACACATGGCAGCACACGGGCTGGAGCACACCTGCACGATGACAGGGATGCACCCGTGCAGCATCGCATCCTCCATGCGCGCACTGAAGCCGTCCCCTGGGAACACCCCGCAGAAACGCGACGAGGAGAGCTGCAGAAAGGTGTGAGGGTCGGGAAAAGATGGGGGAATGGGTGGCGAGCGTGGGGCAAAGGGTGAGGGAAGGTGGGGGAAGGGTGGGAGAAGTGAAAGATGGAATACGGGGGGAGAAGGAGAGGGGTTAACACTGTTAACTTAACAGGACCACAGCATGCATGGGGAAGGGGTTGAGTTTTGAGGCGCCTCAAAACTAGGTGCCTCAAAACTAGGCGCCTCAAAACTGGGGTTAACAGGGTCACAGCATGCATGGGGAAGGGGCTGCATGCAGCTAGGCATAGCAGCATAGCATTCTCCATGCGCACACTGAAGCCCTCCCCTGGGAACACCCCGCAGAAGCGCGACGAAGAGAGCTGCAGAGCGGAGGGGAACGGGAGAGGAGGGATTGAAAGGGAGTGGAAAGGAGTTGGAAGGAGTGGTAGCATGGCGTTCGACAAACTGGCAGGCCGCGCACATGGAAAGAATATTCATCACTGGGTGGCAGGCCACTTGCTCGTCTCGTGACGTGACTACCACATCGGGAGCTCACAGCACCGTGTGAGATGCTCACATTGAAATGGAGAGAAAGGAGAGAGATGAGGATTGAGCTGAGACGCTCACATTGAAGGAGCAGTCGTCGCTGCGCTTGCCCAACAATGTACCTCACTGGAAAAGACCATTTGAGACAAACATGCAGCTCACATTGAAAGAGTAGTCGTTGTTGCAGTGCAGACATTGAAGGAATAGTCGTTGCTGCGCTTGCTTGTCACCACCACGCCAGGAGTGGAGCCCACAGCATCGGTGTGAGGCGCTCACATTGAACCGGGGAGAAAGAAGGGAAGTAAAGACTGAGGCCCTTACATTGAAGGAGAAGTCGTCGCTGCGCTTGCTCGTGACTACCACTTCTGGAGCCCACAGCACCGTCAGGTCAGGCGTTCAGATGTAAGATGGTCAGATTGACTTTTGAGTCGACTCAAAAGTCAACAGCCCACAGCACCATCAGGTCACGCGTTCAGATGTAAGATGGTCAGATTGCAACAAGAAAAAGGAGAGAGATGCTCACATTGAAGGAATAATCCTCGCTGCGCTTGCTCGTGACTACCACGTCTGGAGCCCACAACTCGCCCTTGCTGCCATTCACGTTCTCTATGGACGCAAACAGGTGCGCCACCCGCTGTCGAATGCCCATGCTGTAACTGTGAGGGTGGGAGGGGAGGGGGAGGAGGCACAGGGGCGAGTGGGCAGGAAGGGGAGAAGGGTGGTGGGGGAAGCTTGGGAGGACAGGTGCGTTCTCTAATGCAGGTGGCATCTGGATAGTGAGGCTGCTGTTCTCTGAGTGAATCTTTTCACAGCACCTGCTCTTGCATCGCCCACATCTCGCCCTTGGTGCCGTTCACTTTCTCAATGGAGGCAAACAGGCGAGCCACCCACTGCCGAATGCCCATGCTGTACCTGAAAAAGGGGAAGAGGTGGGAGGGTGGTTGGAGGGAGGGTTGGGGAAGGGAGAGGGGATGGGCCGACTGGCGCGGACGGGGAGAAGGGTGGAGGGGAGGGTGAATGGGAGCCCACTAATCCAAGGAAGCTCCTACAAATGGGGCCCTCGCATCAATTCGGAAGGCGGTTTTTCCGCGACGCCCTCTCTTGCAGCGCTCCCCTCACTCAGCCCACCCGTGCTGCCATTCATGTTACCAATGGAGGCAAACAGGCGAGCCACAAGCTGCTGAACGCCCACGCTGTACCGCATTCAGCAGCTTGTGGGTGGAGGGCAAGCGAGGGTGGAGTGGAGGTGGGGGCGGGGGGGGTGTGAAGTGAGGGCAGGAGGAGAGTGAGCGGGAAGGTGGGGAGGTAGGGGGACAAGGGACCCAGGGCAGATTGGGGATGGAATTTGATTGCACATAACAGTGATATGGGGGTGTAGCTCACATGGTAGAGCGATCGCTTTGCATGCGATAGGTACGGGGATCGATACCCCGCGTCTCCAGATTTTGCAGTTTTGCCAGGGACAAATCGGAAAATCCTCCGTCCTTACCTCCGCTTTCCTCCCTCCCTCCCAAACTCCCCACCCAAGTACTCTCCCCACTCACTCTTTTTCCGGGCGACCACCAAAGGCAGCCCCAATGTTTTTAATTGTTCTGTTTGACCCGTGCAAGTCCTCTCCCCACTCACTCTTTTTCCGGGCGACCACCAAAGGCAGCCCCAATGTTTTTAATTGTTTTGTTTGACCCGTGCAAGTCCTCTCCCCACTCACTCTTTTTCCGGGCGACCACCAAAGGCAGCCCCAATGTTTTTATTTGTTTTGTTTGACCCGTGCAAGTCCTCTCCCCACTCACTCTTTCTCTGGGCGACCACCAAAGGCAGCCCCAAGCTGACCGTTGAAGTAGAAGAGGAGGGGGCGATCAGAGAGAGGCCTGCGAGGGAGATTCACAGGAAGAATAGTGGGCAGAGGAAGCAGGGGAAAGAGGCTGGGAGGGGTGACACACTGACACCAGTGGGGGGTGGGAGGAAGCAGGACAAAGGGCAGCTCCAAGCTGCCCGTTGAAATAAAAGAGGAGAGGGTGGTCGGAGAGAGGCCTGGGAGAAATAAACAATACCGGAGAGGGAGCAGGAGAAAGAGGTGGGGTGGGAGGGGCAGAACGACAGCAAAACTCAAGCTGCCCGTTGAAGCAAAAGAGGAGGGGGCGGTCAGAGAGAGGCCTGGGAGGGAGAGACGGGAAAAGGGAAGAGAGAGTGACATAAGAACAAGGATAATTAAGCACACAGCACACACACCACCTCTTCCACATTCAGCGGCGGTACAAGTTTACAAGGGAGCCGCTGAATGCCGGCAGCACCATGTCCCGAGTTGACTTTTGAGTCGACTCAAGAGTCAAACTTTTTACCATCTCCTTCCTTCGTTGCTTCTTCCTTAGGGCGTTCTATTCTGCTCTTGCTGCTACTCCACTATAAGTTCCTGTGCCTTCAATGCCGGCAGCACCATGTCCCTGTGCAGGTTGTTGCTAGCAGGGGTGGATGCACCTCTGTCCCTCAGTCAATCCCTCAGCCCCTCAATCCCTCAAATAACACCCCCCTTCCACCCACATACAGCCCCCCAGACCCTAACACCTCACCTTTTCGAGAGCCGACGGCGGTAGAAGTCAAAGCGGGGCCCCTTAAACGCCGGCATGACCACATCCTTGTACGGATCGTAGCAGGGGTGGGTGCCCCTCATTTACCGCACCCCTTCAGTTACCACCACCCCCCTCCACTCCACATACACCCCGCCAACCCCCCACCTTTTCCAGAGCCGGCGGCGGTAGAAGTCCATGCGGGGCCCCTTGAACGCCGGCATGACCACATCCTTGTGCGGATCGTAGCAGGGGTGGGTGCCCCTCAGCGCAGGCGGCAGGAAGGCCCAGGAGTCCCCCGGGTATGTTGTGGTGGAGTGCGGGTGGGAAAGCATTGAGTTGCCCCAGTGGGAGATGAGGATGGATGGCCAGATGGCCTGGGGGGCTGTGCACGCACCCTCGTCCCATGCAAAGGGCTGCAGGGGAGAGGAGGGGGAGAGATGAGGGAGGGAGGATGGAGGAGGGGAGATGGGGGTGGGGATATGGAGGAGGGGAGACAGGGGAGGGGAGGCAAGGGACGGGAGGGAAGGAGAAAGGAGAAAGGGATGGGAGAGTGGTGGAGTGAGCGTAGCAGAGCATGGAGTTTCCTATGCCGCCTGGAGGGAGCATGGAGCATGGTGAAAGAGAGGCGGATACAAAGGGCTGCGAGGGAAGGGAGAAGATAGTTGTGTAAAATTGTTTGTATATGTTCCCATGCTCCCATGCTCATATGCTCTCATACACCCATGCACCCGTGCGCTCATAGCATGCGCCCATGCTCTCATGCTCCCATGCACCCATGCTCTCATGCTCCCATGCATACACCTCCTTCTGCCCCCCCACCCCATACAGCACTCACCCAAATGTGGTCGCGCCCGCCTGTGCGGTTCCAGAAGGGATAGTGCGAGCGGATGTGATGGTACGCCTGCAGATAGAAGTCCGCCACTAGGTTGGTGCGGCGCACTAGGTATTTGCCCTGGGGGGAAGAGAGTAGGCAGAAAGGAGAAGGGAGCAAGTGGGGCTTGATTCAGATGTGATGGTATGCCTGCAGGTAGAAGTCAGCCACTAGGTTGGTGCGCTGCAGCTGCACAAGGTACTTGCCTTGGAGGGGGAAGAGAGTAGGAAGAAAGGGGCAAGTAGGTGTGTCTCAGACGTGAGAAGGTATGCTCACAAGTAGAGGGAAGAGATGACAGTAGGCGGGCCGGTCTTTGAGGCGCCTCAAAAGATTTTCTGAGGCGCCTCAAATGATTTTCTGAGGCACCTAAAAATGGGCAAGTAGGTGTGTCTCAGACGTGATGGTATGCTCACAAGTAGGGGGGGGAAAGAGTAGGAGGGTCGGTCTTTTACTCCAGGTTTGGCTCTTAATTTCAAAATAATGCCCCAATCAGCTTCCCTTCACCTCCACAACAGCATACTTCGCTCATTCCCCACCTTCTCCCATTCTCCCATTCTCCCATTCTCCCCCATCCACCCTTCCTCCCTCCCCTCTCTTCTCCTCTACCCCATTTCCTCACCCCTGGCAGATTTCCCTTTATCCCCACCTTTCAGCCCCCAACGCAGTTCAAGTCGACTTGGCTGGCACATCACTCTTTTCCCACCTTCTGCCACTTCCCCATTGCCACTACCCCATGTCTTTTGAGGCGCCTCAATAGTCCTACCAGCATCGAGTAGGCGGGCGAGTCATCAGCGCGGGCAGTCATGCAAGCACCGGGCAGCGGCACGTAAAAATAGTCTGCCAGCCAGGGGTCGTTGGTGCGGTGCACACTGGCTAGCAGACCCTCGAACAGCACCCCCTGGTGGTTTTGCGATGGAGGGGATGGGGAGGGAGGGGCAGTGTGGGTTGGGCAGAGAAGGACAGGCTAATGCCAGTGTGCTTGCTTGAAGGGCACGTGCCGTGCAATTCATCCAGCCAGGGGTCGTTGGTGCGGTGCACACTGGCTAGCAGACCCTCGAACAGCACCCCCTGGTGGAAGCAGGGGGAGGGGAGAAGCACAGAGCAGCAGGTGGGGAGGGAGATCCTTGTCTGAACGCCTGGTTTGAAAAGCACATACAAGCAGTTCGCCAGCCAGGGGTCATTGGTGCAGTGCACACCGGCTAGCAGACCCTCGAACAGCACCCCCTGGTGGTGCTTGATAAAAGTGTTGTTTTGAGACGTCTCAAAACAACACTTTTGTCTCAAAACAACACTTTTATCACGTGGTTTTGAGACATCTCAAAACAACACTTTTGTCTCAAAACAACACTTTTATCACGTGGTTTTGAGACGTCTTAAAACGACCCTCGAACAGCACCCCCTGGTGGTGCTTGTCGGAGGGAGGGGAGAAGCACAGAGCAGTGTGTGGGCTAGGCGCGGAGAGGCAGGCTGGGCGCTTGCTTGCTTGATAGACAGGCACGTATGTGGTTTGCCTGCCTGGGGTGGGTGGGTGGTTGGTTGGTTGGTTGCTGCGGTGCGGTGCGGTGCGGTGCGGTGCTCACTGGCTAGCAACCCCTGCAACAGCACTCCCTGGTGGTGCTTGTGTGGGGAAAGAGGGAGGTAGGAGCATCATGCTTGTGAGTTGGACGGAGAGGAGAGGAACATGATGATGCCTTGCTTGGGTGACTTTTGAGTCGACTCAAAAGTCACCTTAGTTGGGCGGAGAGGAGAGGAACACGATGATGCCTTGCTTGCTTGAGTGGCATGCGCAAGTCCGCCTGACAGGGGTGGTTGGTTGGTTGCTGTGGTGCGGTGTGGCTAGCAACCCCTCCAACAGCACTCTCTGGTGGTGGTTGCGTGGGGAAAGAGGGAGAGAGGAGCATCTTGAGTGGCATGCGCACACTGGCTAGCAACCCCTGCAACAGCACTCTCTGATGGTGGTTGCGGGAGGGGCAAAGGAAGGAGGGAGGGAGACAAAGAGAGGCGGGCTGAGAAGGTGCTTTGGGTCGAAGGGCATGCATGTGTGTGTGCTTCGAGTCGACTTGGAACACACGTCAAAGAGCATGCATGCACAGCACACATAGAGCGGTACGGTATGGTACGGTGCGACACAACACAAGCAGAGCACCTGACAGCCTGTCAGAGGTGGTTGGTTGGTTGGTTGGTGGTACCTACCACCTGCCCTCTCTGGCGAACGGCGAACGTGTTCGGGCGAACACCGAACACATTCACCACGAACATTTTTAGCCAAAGGCGAACCGAACAGGTGTTCGTATCCATGCTCATGCCTAGTTGGTGGTACCTACCACCTGCCCTCTCTAGCGTGAGACATGCTAACATCCTCCCTTCCTCACCTCACCTCTAGCCATACAACCAGCTGTGGTTGAACTCTGTCTCGTTCAGAAAGCCGTGGAGCCACGGGATAAATGAGGTGGTATTTGAGGCACCTCAGAAACCAGCCGTGGTTGAACTCTGTTGCGTCTAGAAAGCCGTGGAGCCACCACGGGATGAATAAACAGTGTACCGGTATAACATAACCACGCTTCCCTCGCGTCTCTTGAGGCGCCTCAAAAGTCGTCTGTTGCGTTTAGAAAGCCGTGAAGCCACCACAGGATGAATGAACAGTGTACCGGTATAACATAACCACGCCTTCCTCGCGTCTCTTGAAGCGCCTCAAAAGTCGTTTTGAGGCGCCTCAAAAGTCGTCTGTTGCGTTTAGAAAGCTGTGAAGCCACCACAGGATGAATGAACAGTGTACCGGTATAACATAACCACGCTTTCCTCGCGTCTCTTGAGGCGCCTCAAAAGTCGTTTTGAGGCGCCTCAAAAGTCGTAAGTTGCGTTTAGAAAGCCGTGGAGCCACCACAGGATGAATGAACAGTGTACCAGTATAACATAACCACGCTTTCCTCGCGTCTCTTGAGGCGCCTCAAAAGTCGTCTGTTGCGTTTAGAAAGCCGTGGAGCCACCACAGGATGAATGAACAGTGTACCGGTATAACATAACCACGCTTTCCTCGCGTCTCTTGAGGCGCCTCAAAAGTCGTTTTGAGGCGCCTCAAAAGTCGTCTGTTGCGTTTAGAAGCCGTGGAGCCACTACGGGATGAATGAACAGTGTACCGGTATAACATAACCACGCTTTCCTCGCGTCTCTCTCGTTCCCCCATGACCACTACCCACCTCTAGGCCGTACAGCCAGCCGTGGTTGAAATCTGTCTCGTTTTGAAAGCCGTAGAGCCATGGGGTGCAATAGAACCGGCTGTGCCTGCCCTGACAGCAGGGGAGGGTGGTGGGGGAATTGGATGGGTGGGGGAGGAGGGGCGAGGGAGGGGAAGGGAGGAAAATAGTTGCGTTCTTTCCTGGTACAGAATACTTAGTGGTGCAGTGCAGTTCGTATGTATGTCTCATGCTGAAAGCCGTAGAGTCATGAAGCGCAGCAGAACCGGCTGTGCCTATTGTGAAAGCAGAGGAGAAGAGGAGTGAGAGCGGAGAGAATAAAGAGATGCTTTCCTTTCTGGTACCATATGCATTCTGTACCTGGAAAGGGTGGGTGGGTGGGTGGGTGGGAGGGAGGACAGCTCTGCTGGCATATCATATGTGTATTGTTTCGTCTACTAAAAAAACATTACGTATAGGCGGCTCAGCTCTAGGCAGCTTGGCTAACATTACGCATTACATATCATGTCAGCAGCGCAGCTTGGCTGACATCTCCGACGAGCTTGTCAAAGGAGGAGCTTGCCTTGTCTGTGATGCAGAATTTTTAGTGGAGTTTTAAAGAATTCTTAGTGGAGTTTTAAAGAATTCTTAGTGGAGTTCTGGACAACCGCGCATCGTTTTTAGAGCCGACTGGACAAGAGGGAAACGTTTCGTTTACTAATCGACTCACAAGTTGGGGGACCCACCTGGAAAGGGGGTGGGAGGAGAGGACAGGGCAGCTCTGCTGGCAGGTGGTAGGTCAACAGCCTTCCTTCCTTCAATGAAGGCTAGTTTTGAGGCGCCTCAAAACCAGGTGGTAGGTCAACGGCCTTCTTTCAATGAAGGACCATGAGTTTTTTTAGTGGACTCACAGCAAATGGCACCAAGGATGTTGGCTGACTTACATACAAGTTGGGGACCCACCTGGAAGGGGTGCGAGGACATACAAGTTGGGGACCCACCTGAAAGGGGTGCGAGGAGAGCTCTGCTGGCAGGTCATAGATGTAGATCAATGGACTTAAAAGATTCTCAGTCAGCTCACAACACCACAACAGACAGGGCACACACAACAGGGCACCCACAACAGGGCACCCACAACAGGGCATCCACAACAGGGCACCCACCTGGAAAGGGTGCGAGGAGAGCTCTGCTGGCAGGTCGTAGATGTAGATCAATGGACGGCGTCGAGGGGCTAGGAGAGACATGGAGGCACTGGAAACAGACGCCATTGTTGCCGCTGATACCACTGCGTTAGACCCCGGTTTTCCTGCTCCTCCCACTTCCTCCTCCCTCTGCTCCTCCTCGGACCCCTCGAGCTCCACCTCCTCCCACGTTTCCCCGTCTGCTGCAGACGCCCCAAACCACTCGGGAAGAGGCAACGATGCATGCTGAGCCTTTTCAGCCTGCACAACCTGCCCAGCCTGCCCAGACTGCCCCTCATGTTCTCTCTGCAGCACACCATGACCTTCCCCATGAAGATCAGAGGAGATTCCCCCCGATTTACTGCCACCAGCGGCGCCTATTGATGAGAGTGTGAGTGCCAGAGCTGCTGCTGTGGTCTGGGATGGCCGGCTGCAGTCAATGCCGTACCACCCAGGCTCGCACTGGAGGATTGGGGGGAGAGGGGAGGGAGGTGAGGGGGAAAGAGGGCATATGTGTGCAAGAAAGGGAACGTGTGAGTGCCAGAGCTGCTGCTGTGGCCTGGGATGGCACGCTGCAGTCAATGCCGTACCACCCAGGCTCGCACTGGAGAGCGGGGAAGAGGGGCGAAGGGCACGGGGGGGGGGGGGGGGGGGAGGGGGGGGGAGGTGAGTGCGGAAGGGGCGTATGCGTGCAAGAGAGGGCGCGTGAGAGTGCAAGAGAAAGGATGCATGCGAGGGAAACGTTTCAAAAGAGGGGTGGAAGAAGGGAAGAGCCGGGGAGGGTAGGTGGGTGGTTTGGGAAGAAAGACATAAGGAGCAGAGAAACACAGAATATATATTAAAAAAAAGAAGGGGGGGGGGAGGGAAGGGAAGAAGGGGATGGGGTGGAATCAAGGGAAGGGAAGGCAGGATATATTACACCGGGAACAAAAGCAAGGTACGATGAAATAAAAGAGGAAAGAAAGGAGGACAAAGGCTACCTTGCAGTACCCTTGGTGGCACTCCCCTCGGCCTTGACACCCTCCCGCACAATAAGCCTTCACGGGCATGTGGCAAAATTCTCCACCCTGCCCGTCGTACGGGCACGCGCAGAGAGAGTGAGAGCCCCCCTCGAGTTTTTGCTGCCCGGAAGCTGCTTGGGCAGGGTCGATTTGGCACCAGCCCATGGCGCTAGGAGAGGTGAGGCGGACTTTGGAGATGTTGGGGTGTAGGAACCAGTCTCTGCGTTTATGAAGGGGAGGGAGGGATGTAAAGAAGGAAAGGAGAAAGGGGGGATGGAGAGGGGAAGGAATGCTGGGGTCGATATGGCACCGGCCCATAGCACTAGGAGAGGTGAGGCAGACTTTGGAAATGTTGGGGTGTAGAAACCAGTCTCTAGATGACTTTTGACTTTTGAGTCGACTCAAAAGTCACCTCGTTGGGGTGTAGAAACCAGTCTCTGCTTTGGTTGTGGGGAGAGGCGGATGGGATGAGAGGGAGGGAGGCAGGTTCGATCTGGCACCAGCCCACGGCGCTAGGCGAGGAGAGGCAGACTTTGGAAATGTTGGGGTGTAGGAACCAGTCACTGCGTTCAGGAGTGGGAGGGAGGGATTGAAAGAGGGAAAGGGGAAGGGGGGGTCGGAAAGAGGGAGAGGGGAAGGGGGGGATGGAGAGGGGAACGAATGCTGGGTTCGATTAGCACCAACCCAAGGCAGTGGGGGAGGAGAGGCGAACTTTGGAGATGTTGGGATGTAGGAATCAGTCACAGTGTTCAGGAGAGGCAGACGGGTTTGGCAGAAATGCAAGTGCGTGGGAGGGGAGGGGGTGGGAGAAGGGGGAGGGAGGGAGGGACGGAGAGAGGGAAGGAGGGTGGGAGGGAGGGAGGGAGTGAGAGAGGGAGGGAGGGAGGGAGGGAGGGAGGGAGGGAGGGAAGGAGGGAGGGAGGGAGGGAGGGAAGGAGGGAGGGAGGGAGTGAGTGAGGGAGGGAAGGAGGGAGGGAGGGAGGGAGGGAGGGAGGGAGGGAGGGAGGGAGGGAGGGAGGGAGGGAGGGACGGAGAGAGGGAAGGAGGGTGGGAGGGAGGGAGGGAGGGAGTGAGGGAGGGAGGGAGGGAGGGAGGGAAGGAGGGAGGGAGGGAGGGAGGGAAGGAGGGAGGGAGGGAGTGAGTGAGTGAGGGAGGGAAGGAGGGAGGGAGGGAGGGAGGGAGGGAGGGAGGGAGGGAGGGAGGGAGGGAGGGAGGGAGGGAGGGAGGGATGGATGGATGGAGGGAAGGAGGAAGGGAGGAACACTTTCAGTTTGAGTCTGGGAAGCACAAGAGACTTTTGAGTCGACTCTTGAGTCTGGAAAGCACAAGAGACTTTTGAGTCGACTCAAAAGTCTGGGAAGCACAAGAGATGGCATGTTCACGTGATCAGATTTTGGAAGATCTTAGACATCGCAGGTTGAATCGTACAATACCCAGGCTTCTCTCGAGTAAACCGCTTTCTTTTTGAGGCGAGATTACTCGCCTCGACTTTTGAGTCGACCCATAAGTTTACTCGCCTAGACTTTCTCTCTCCTTGAGAGTAAATCCTACAATTGTTAACAACAGTCGGGGCGAGTGTTAATTTGCTTCCAACACCAAAACTCACTGCAGCAAGGACATTCTCCCCCACTCACCCTTTCTCTGTGTTGAACCCGCATGGTCTAAACAGTGGTCTAGCAGGAGAGGCCGTGGCGTTGCCACAGAGACAGGGGATATGAGGCCACCACCACCACTCACGCGCCCAGGGGTGAGGCCAAGAGGTGGGGCGGAGGGAAGAAAAGGGACTACCGGAAGGAAGGGAGAAGGGGTAAGGGAGAGGTGGGGGGAGAAGCTCGCTCACCCTTTCCCTGTGTTGAACCCGCACGGCCCAAACAGCGGTCGAGTGGGATAGGCCGTGGCGTTGCCACAGAGACAACGTGCAGTTGTGGTGTCACAAAGGCCCCCACGAGGGCATGAAGACACCACCCACACGCCCAGAGGGGCGTTGGGGGACGCAGGCATGTTGCAGAGGAGCGGCGAGAGGAGAGAGCAGTCTGGGCCTGGGATGGGGGGAAGAGGGGATGAAGGGGGGGGGGGGAAATGGGGAGCAGGGGGAAGATGGCGGTGGGGGAGGGGGGCAGGAGAGGGTAGGGGAAGGGAAACGGTAGGAAAGGGAAGGGAAGGGCAGGGGAGGGTAGAGAAGGAAGAAGCACGGAGGTTGAATATTGAGATGAAGCAGGACGAAAAAAGCCCTCTGTATCCCACTGTAACTAGCAACCACATTTGGTGTCATGTTATCCCATTATTGCATCCTACTCTCTCTACCCAGCAATCCTCCATCCAACATGGCACCCCACCCCCCTACCCTATCTGCGCCCTCGCCGCACCTTTGTAACCAATAGGGCACTGACACGTGCCCCTCTCGTGATTGCACACACCCCTGCCACTGCAGTCATTGCGGCATGGCTCTGAAAACCAGCGCTGGGGATAGGGGTAGGTGCGTGGGGGGAAAGGGGTGGGGGGAAAGGCGTGGGGGGGAAGGCGTGGGGGGAAAGGGATGGGGGGAAAGGCGTGGGGTGGAAGGGGTGGCGGGAAAGGGGTGGGGGGAAAGGGGTGGGGGGAAAGGAGTTATGCGCCGTCTCAACAAACCGGCATCGCAGCATGAATCTAGAAGGTGAAACACAGCACTGGGAAAGGGCTTTTAAGGCCCCTCAAAAGTCTCAACAAAACGGCATCGCAGCATGCATCTAGAAGGTGAAACACAGCACTGGGAAAGGGTGGGTCGGGGGTATGCGGACAGGGCGCTAGGCGAAGGGCAATAGATGTGGAGAGGGAGGGAGAGAAGGGGATGCATTTCGGGAAAGCAGGGAAGGTGGGGTGGGGTTGGAAGAGGAGACGAAGGGGACTATACAGACAGTGAGGCATGACTCTGATAAGAAGCGCTTGGAAAAGGGTGCGCGGGGAGGGGGTGTGGGAAATAGGCGAAGGGCAATAGATGTGGAGAAGGAGGGAAGGTGGGGTGGGGGGAGATGAAGGGGGAGTAACCATGCTGCGATGACTCTCTGAGACATTGATGCGATGACTCTGAGAAAAAGAAGCGCTTGGAAAAGGGTGGGCGGGAAGGGGGTGAGGGCATAGAATAGAATAGACGAAGATCAGGAGAAGGAGGGACGGAAAGAAAGGGATGAAGTAGAGTGGACTAAATGCCTTAGCATGTATAAGGTTGCACCCCATGCGATGCCCATGCCCATACCCATGCCCGCCCATGCCCATCCCATGCCCATGCCCATACCCAAGCCCATGCCCATGCCCATGCCCATGCCCATGCCCAAACCCAAGCCCATGCCCATGCCCATCCACATCCCCTTGCCCATGCCCATCCATACCGATTCCACTGCCACAGCTGGTAACGGGTTTGCATACGCTTTCAGCCACTGGCCAACAGCAGGCCGCCACGTGGCGCCTCTAAATCGCACCCCAACCTCCCTCAACTCCCTTCCCTCCTGCCCTGGCCCTCCTCCTTCCCCTTCCCCTCCTCCTCCTCCTTGTCCTCCCCCCAACCTCTCGTACTTTATAGTCACATTCGCTGCAGTCACACGTAGCTGAGCCAAACCCCATATCTGTCGCCCTTTCTCATTCAGCCCTATAACCATTCCCCCGCTCCGCTTATCCCCTTCTCCCGAATATTCTCGCCAAAAAGGGATCTTCTTCCCGTTATAATACTTTGCTTCTAGCTCCCTCGCTCGTTCGTCACTCCACGTGTTGGGATCTCCGTTCGTTAGAGTCACGTTGTCACCATTCTCCTTCGCGAACGCTTCTAACGAGGATAAAGTCCACCCATTAATCTCTCTATCCGCTTCCGCGGATTCCCCCCCGTCTCCCCCTTCCGACCCCGACTCCCCCCCTTCCGCGAATGTACACTCCCAGTCCCCCCCGCCAGGTCCGCCTATCCACCCCGCTTCCGCGCGTCCGCTTGCGCCATCCCCCCCCCACTTCACGCGCCCCTTCCCCCAGCCCCACGCCCATCCCCATACCCCTCCCGTTCCGCTCCCCCACGCCCATCCTCTTCCGCCTGAGCCTGTTGCGTCCGCGTATCCCCGACGCTGCGCCGATTCCCCCTGCGCCAGCTCCGCCCAATTTTGCGCAAGTTTCACTTCCGCGCCTTGCGGCATCCGCATGCGGGCTGGGCGGCGGGGTGGCGCCTTGCGCAGCATCCGCGCAGGCCCAAGCCCCGTGATATCGGACAGAATCAGCAGCGCCGCCAGCGCGACCAATGCTACTAGCGCGCCCGCGCGCATCTGCGCGGATGGAGGCGTGCGCCCATGCCCGCCGTGCCCGCCTCCGCCAGCGCCAGCGCCAGCGGTGGTCGCCGGCGCAGCGGTGAAGCGCGTGCGCTGACCGTGGGACAAGAGTGCGGCGGCTTTGCGCGGGCCAGCTGTCGAATCTGCCGCGGCTTGCGCGGAAGATCCGATCCGTTGAAACACTCGCATTACGAAATATTTTTTCGAACAACTCAAAACACGCGCATCATGAGAGAAAAGACCCGCCAGCCGAGGGGAAGAAAACGCAGGGAACACCCGTGCATTAGAGCGGCCACGCAGACATCCGCGTTATGGAGACAATATGGCAGCTATGGTCAGCTTGTTGGTTTCAGGACAAGCGAGGCGTGATGTGAAACTCGTGGAAGCTCGCATTTGCTTGGTTAGTCTGTGGATAGGAGTGCAACCTCGTCACTATCTCCTAAAAAAGATATCCTGCTTCAATACACTGCACTGCATGCAAACCACATATTCTCTACCACAAGTTTTCTACGAGCTTCTATTGCACAATACCAAGAATAAAAAGAATAACCTACGGTGAATGAAGATGATGGATGGGTGAAACTACCCCACATGCGGTAAAACCATGTACAAGAATAACCATGGGCATGGCACTATGAACTAGGCCTTCTAGGCACCCTCAACTTTCGTAGACCCCTCAGTCCCTTCCCCTTCTCCTGCTGCTGCTGCTGCTTCTTCCCCCTCCCCAACAGCCCCCTCGTCTTCTTTCTTCACATAGGGTACCTCTGCAGTGAAGGTGAAGGGCTTCCCCGGCTCATATGCTGCCTGAAGCTCGTCTGACGACTGGGTGGTCTTGGCGTCGCCTGCTGACGCCACACCTTTCTGTGAGCGGGGAGGGGAGGTGGGGGTCCGGTGGGGGGTTGGGTGGGGGTGCAGTGAAGGTGAAGGGCTTCCCCGGCTCATATGCTGCATGAAGCTCGTCTGACGACTGGGTGCTGTTGGCGTCGCCTGCTGACGCCACATCTTTCTGGGAGGTTGAAGTGGGGGACAGGCGGGGGTGAGGTGAGGGATGAGGTGGGAAAAGGGTTTATGGGAAGGCGACGGGGGGAGCACATGGTGTAACCTTTTGAGCATTAAAAAAAAAAAAAAAAAAAAAAAGAGTGGTTGGTTCAAAGGCTGCCTGGAGCTCATCCCATGACTTGGTTGTCTTGGCGTCGCCTGCTGATCAAGGTATACCAGCGGCGACTGGTTGATAAGCTCTGTGATTGTGAACCCTATCACTCAGCCTCCGAACCCCCACACTTACCCATCACACCAGACCAACTCAACCCCCTCCTCACACTCCCCCCCACTCCCCCCACCCCCCACTTTCCCCACCCCCCCCAACACCCCTCCCCCCTTCCTTCTCCCATCCCCCTCCTGTTACCAGACCATCATCTCACTTGGTCCAAATAAGCCCATTAACAGTGACTTGTTGATTAGCTCTATGATAGTGAACCCTATCACCCAGCAACTTGTTGCCACGCCCCTAGCCCCCATCACTACTTGCCGTGCCAGGGCAACAGGCCACCTGTTGTCCCCCCCCCTGTTACCATCCCATCAGCCCACCTGGTCCAGGTAAGCCAGCAATGACTTGTTGATGAGCTCTGTGATTATGAACCCTATCACCCGTGAGCGACCCAGGAACCGCAGCACCACTGCCTTGTCAACCTGTGACAGCAGGGAGGGGGAGGAGCAGGGAGGAGGGGGGAGAAGGAAGGGGGAGGAGCAGGGAGGGGGGGGGAGAAGGGAGGGGGAGGAGCAGGGAGGGGGGGGGAGAAGGGAGGGGGAGGAGCAGGGAGGGGGAAGAACAGGGATGGGGAGGAGCAGGGATGGGGAGGAGGGCGGGATGAGGAGGAGGGCGGGTGGTTGGAGGGTGGAAGAGGGAGGGAGAGAGAGAGGAGGGGAGTGTGAGGTGTGAAACAACAGGAGCGCAGGAGAAGGAATATAGCACTCGTGGATAAACAGCAGCGCAGTGCAGTGCAGTGCAGTGAGGTGCGATGCAGTGCGGTGCAGTGCACGAGATACGGAACGTCCCTGTGCAACGCATCCCCCAAAGCCATGGAAAGAGCATTTTCCACTTGCATGATTCCGATTTTGAGGCGCCTCAAAACTGCATGGTTTCGATTCAAGGCGAAGCAAACGCGAATGTGCGTGCCAGAGGAGGAAGCGGGGGGGCATGAGGAAGCATGAAAAGAGAACCAGGTAACGAACGACGGGTGGTGGGCGCAGACAATTGCAACTTGAAAGATAGCAAGGCGCCAGAGAAAGAGAGGCGAATCAAATGGCAAGAGGGAGTGGTTGGGGGTGGTGGCGAGTGGTGAGAGGATGATTGTTGAGGCAAGGCAGAGGCGGTTAAGGTGACAGGGGGGTTGGATGTGAGTGAGAGGGGGCTTGGATGTGAGTGAGAGGGGGGTGGGATGTGAGTGAAGAAGGGGGTTGGATGTGAGTGAGAGGGGGGTTGGATGTGAGTGAAGAAGGGGCTTGAGTGACTGCAATTGGAGTGAATGTGTGTACTTGCTTGGATGAGCAGCAAACATGAAGGAGCGTGAGAAAGCCAGTGAGAAAGCCAGTGAGAAAGCCAGTGAGAATAGAAGCGAGATAGGGAGTGAGAGAAAGGGGGCCAGGATTTCCTGAAGGACTAAACAAACCACTCACTCACCCCTGCTTGCTTGCCTGTTGATTGAACTCCCCCCAGCATCACCACACCACAGCATGTGGACACACATGAGGGACAACGAGAGAAAAGGAGAGGGGAGAGGAATCCATGAGGGGAGGGGATTGCAAATCAGAAGGATAGGGGCGAAGAGGAGAGGGGAGAAAATTTCAGGAGGAGAGGGGAGAAGAGGAGAGTGGAGAAAAATCCAGAAGGGCAAAATTTGGATGTGCTACATCTTAACGGCAAGGGAAAGACAGATGGGAAGGGCGAAAGGGGTAATGGAATGAAGGATCGGGAAGGGGGAATGGGAAGGGGGAATGGGATGGGGGAATGGGATGGGGGAATGGGATGGGGGAATGGGAAGGGGGAATGGGATGGGGGAATGGGATGGGGGAATGGGAAAGGGGAATGGGAAGGGGGAATGGGATGGGGGAATGGGATGGGGGAATGGGAAGGGGGAATGGGATGGGGGAATGGGATGGGGGAATGGGATGGGGGAATGGGATGGGGGAATGGGATGGGGGAATGGGAAGGGGGAATGGGAAGGGGGAATGGGAAGGGGGAATGGGAAGGGGGAATGGGAAGGGGGAATGGGAAGGGGGAATGGGATGGGGGAATGGGAAGGGGGAATCAATGGGAGGAACTGAAGGACACAGCGAAAGGCGAAGCAAAAAGAAAGGTTGAACGGAACTGGGAAATGAGAACAGGAAAATGGACAACCCTTGTCCAGGCGACCTCCCTTGCCGAACCTAAGCCCCTTAACCAAGCCTACGCCCCTTTCTGAGTCTACCTCCCTTGCCGAGCCTGGCCCCGGGCAGTGGCGGGCACTCCTTGGCTAGTGAGCGTAGCGTGCCGTCAAAGAGCATGGCAGTCTCACTGCCTGCCACGTCGACCCGCACCTGATGGGAGGGGAGGGGAGGGGAGGGGGAAGGGAAGGGAGGGGTGGGGAGGGGAGGGGAGGGGAGGAGAGGGGAGGGGAGGGGAGGAGAGGGGTGGGGAGGGGAGGGGAGGGGAAGGGAGGGGTGGGGAGGGGAGGGGAGGGGAGGAGAGGGGAGGGGAGGGGAGGAGAGGGGTGGGGAGGGGAGGAGAGGGGTGGGGAGGAGAGGAGAGGGGAGGGGAGGAGAGGGGTGGGGAGGGGAGGAGAGGGGTGGTGAAGGGAGGGGAGGGGAGGGAGGGAGCAAAGGAGGATATGCATGAGAGGACAACGGACGGTAGGGAGTGGAGTGGCATGAAAGAGCATAGCGAGCATAGCGTGGCGTCAAAGAGCATGGCCGTCTCACTGCCTGCCATGTCCACACGCACCTGATGGGAGGGGAAGCATGGCGAGGGAGGGGGAGGAGAGAGGATGGTGGGGGAGAAGGGTTTTCAGCGGTGAGTGAGTTGCAAGGAGTGGAGTGGAGTGGAGTGGAGTGGAGCGGAGCAGCGTCAACAGGCATGCTGTATCAGGTGATTGTGGGGGAGGGGAAAGGGGGGAGGGAGTTGGTTGCTCAGGTGATTGCAGACAGAAGGGGAAGGGTGGAAGAATGGGAAGGGGAGGGGCGGTGGGGGGGTGGTGAGGGTGGTGAGGGTGGTGAGGGTGGTGAGGGTGGTGAGGGTGGTGAGGGTGGTGAGGGTGGTGCAAGAATGGAACTCAGAAGCACGCACGCACACATAGACTTTTGAGTCGACTCAAAAGTCAACTCAGTCAGAAGCACGCACGCATAAAGAACTCCGGAGGGGAGTGACATCAACCAACCAGGATGACACGCACCACAAACCATCTCAAGCACGCATCTGGAACTCAGAAGCACGCACCGAGAAACCCAGGGGGGCACACATAAAGAACTCAGAAGCACGTACCGTGATGCTGCTGTCTGTCTGTGCTTCAGTTGTGAAATCCACTGCCGGCCGCCCCTTTTGACTCGAATCAACTCACTCAAACGAGGGACCTAGAGCACACACCAAGAAACCCAGAGGAGCACGCATCTGGAACTCAGGAGCACGCACCGTGATGCTGCTGTCTGTCATGGCTTCAGTTGTGAAATCCACTGCCGGCCGCCCCTTCATGCTGCTGCTGCTGCTGCCAGCTTTAGCAGCCTTGGCAGCCTTAGGGGCCTTTGCTGGTTTTTCCTCAGTACCAGCAGCATCAGCAGCAGCCTCTTCGGCAGCAGAAGCAGGATCAGCAGCGGGCTTCTTGGTCTTCTTGAAGTTCTTTTTCGGCCCGCCTTTTGCTGCTAGTACGAGCACGACAGGTGCAGCTGATGATGCAGCGGCGGCGGCAGCAGAGAGGGTGGGTGAGCTGGTGCGGAGGAGTGGGGAGAGGGACACTGCAGGGAGAGAGGGGAGAGGGAGGGGAGGGAGAGGAGGGAGGGGAGGGAGGGGAGGGAGGGGAGGGAGGGGAGGGAGGGGAGGGAGGGGAGGGAGGGGAGGGAGGGGAGGGAGGGGAGGGAGGGGAGGGAGGGGAGGGAGGGGAGGGAGGGGAGGGAGGGGAGGGAGGGGAGGGAGGGGAGGAAGGGGAGGGAGGGGAGGGAGGGGAGGGAGGGGAGGGAGGAAAGGAGGGACGGAAGGGTAGGACGACAGGACGGCGTGGGAGAGGGAGGGAGAAAAAGGCAGTTGAAAGGCCGAGAAGCCATGGGAAGTGGTAAAGGGCAAAAGGATGGTGGAGGGTTGAAGGGTGAAGGGGTGGAAGGGTTGAAGGGTGGAGGGGTGGAAGGGTTGAAGGGTGGAGGGGTGGAAAGTGGAAGGGTGGTAGGGTGGAGAGATAGGGGCAAAATGCGCAGCGGAGCAGAGGCGTTACGACCGTATAGAGGCAGACAGAAGAGGCACAGACAGAGGCAAAACCCTAAACCCTAAACCCTAAACTTAATAATGTGGAGCGGTAACAAGCAGCCAAGCAGCAGACAGAGGCAGGGGGGCGCGGGGAGGGGGGTGGGGAGGTGGAGGGCAGGGCACACAGTTGAAAAAGGGCAGGACTGTGTGAGCAGAGAGGCAGAGGCAGAGGCAGAGGCAGAGGCAGAGGCAGAGGCAGAGACAGAGGCAGAGACAGAGGCAGAGACCGAGGCAGAGACAGAGGCAGAGACCGCACACGCATGCTGTACCTGAACGCGAGTGCGCGGCAGAGAGGCGTGCGAAGGAGGCATCCTTGTCCTTGTGTGTGGACAGGGGTTGCTGGATGGATGGCATGGTAGGGCATGGTAGGGCATGAAAGAGACGAGGATGTGAGAAAAGGAGTGGGGGAGAGGGGGAGGAGGGAGGGAACGCGAGGAACGGAGGGGCAGGACAGGAGAGTGGCAAAAACAGGGAAATGTGCTTGCGAGCAGAGAGAAATGAAGAAAAGCGGGCGGGAGGGGGTGGGGAGGGGGACTAGTGAATGCACGGCATGTGCGCGGCACAGTGAAATCCGAGAGAAGCATGGAAAAAAGTTGTTCCTTTTTTGAGGCGCCTCAAAAGAAATCCGAGAGAAGCATGACAAAAAGTTGTTCCTCTCTTGCATTGCAGCACCCACGACGACTCACCTTTCCATCATCTAACCTCGCCTTGCTACAGCCGTCCTAAAGCCCCAAACCCTTGCATCCCAGTTCCCCACCCCTTTCTCCCCTCTTCTCCCCCCTCCCATCCCCCCCCCCCCCCCCCCCCCCCCCCCACCTTCCACCTTCCCCTTCCTGCCACAACTCCCCCCACCCTGGGCCTTCCCACCACCCCCCTGCCCCCTCCTCCCCCCCCCTCTTTCCTTTTAGACTGTTGAGCATTACAACTCCCATGAAGTGTCGGAGTTAAGCCATTTATTATGTGTCAATACCTCTGTTCCAGTAACGCGAATCGCATCACGGTTAAGGTGTCTGTCACGTCACCCACCTACCCTCAAGCTGGCTGACGTGGCAAGCACGGAGCGCCCGCTCATGCTGACGTGGACGGCGGCCATTGGCGCTGCGAAGTGCCACGTGGACGTGTCTGGCTGGACTGGATAAGGGGGGCGAGGGAATACGGCGAGAGGGAGAAAAGAGAGGCAGGGAGGGGAAAAGCGGAGGGGGAAGAGCGGAGGGGGAAGAGCGGAGGGGGAAGAGCGGAGGGGGAAAAGCGGAGGGGGAAAAGCGGAGGGGAAAAATGGAGGGGGAAAAGCGAAGGGGGAAAAGCGGAGGAAGAAGAGCGGAGGGGAAAAGCGGAGGGGGAAAACAGCGTAGGGCAGAGGAGGGCGGGAAGGGAGAAGTAGAAGGATCGGTGCACACGGGTGAGGGAACGGAAGTGCGGAGGAGAGGGGAGAAAGGCGGTGGAGAGGGGCGGAGGGCGGAAACGCGGCGGGAGGAGGGCGGGAAGGGCGGAGGGCGGAAGCGGGGAGGGAAGTGGAGGAGAAGAAGAGAAGACGGACGGGGGCGAGAGGGGGCAGGGGGGAGAGAGAGGGGGAAGCGGGGAAGGAGGGGGGAAATGCGGAAAAGGGCTGGGAGGGGCATCGACCAGGTAGAAAGAGAAGGGGTTGAGGGAAGGAGGGAAAGGGGGAAGGGGGAAAGCAGGAGGGGGGAAATGGGGGGGGGAGGGGGGAGGGGAGGGGGGGGGGGGAAGCGGGGGGGGAGGGGGGGTGTGGAGAGGGGAAAGGTAGGCTTAGTCAGCGTTGCAAAAAAAAAAAAAAAAAAAAGAGGAATGCGAGGGGGCATGAAACGGGAGGATGCGGGATTGGGAGTGGAAGGAGGCAGGAGGGGAAAAGCTGAACCAGGCGGAAGAGGAATGAAGCGGGAGGGGAACAGGCGAATTGGTCCAGGGAAGGCGGGAAGTGGGGGGAGGGGGGAAAAGGGACGGCACATCACGCGAAGAGAAGGAACAAGAAGACTTTATAGAGAATTCTCAGAAGGATCTGCAAGTCTAGGAGGAAGACGAGAAATGTGGGAAAAGGGAGACGAATCCGGCATTGCGCAGACACTTGATTCGCCTAAAACAATGTAGGAACGATCGGGTCGGGACGGCGAGCGTGCGGACGAGCCGCATCATGCGAGATCAAATCGATTTAGGAGATCCGTCAAGATTCGGCGGATGTTCGCCGCGAATAGGGACCTTTCCTACGCGAAGAACTTACTGCGAATAGGAAAGCTGACAAAGCGGCGGGCAGACGGGGAAAGCACGGAAGGCTCGTGACGTCACTTACAGGTGGCAGAAACCGAAGCGAGGCTTGAGGTAAGGAAGGGAGAGACTAACGAGGTCTGCTGTTGGGATTTTGCATAGCTATGTGCAAAATTTCAGTGGAACAGGGTAACCAGTAATGTGGTTAGACGTAACACGTACACTTAAGAGAGAGCATTGCACTAAACGAACGATTCTAGTGCGAGCAATGGCAGGAGCGAACGTTTAGAAGTGAAACATGCACATGGAAACGCGGACTTGCAAGCTAGTGCAACGCTGGCAAAGGTTCGCGCTAGTTTCGATGCGTAAGGACGTGTCTCAGAGGGTGTCTCAGGTGGCGATCCCACGTTTGCCCGCCATCGAAGTCACCCCACGCGGTTCGCCAATTTGTATAATGTGAGGAAATTGGGGCAAATGCGGCTCGAACTTTGCCCATCAACATGTAATGTGATTTTGGTCATGCAATGCCGCATCCATGATCGTGAGCGAACTCATCCAACGGCGCACGACGCAGTTGTGGTATTGACTGTACTGTCGGAACATTATAGCTGATGCATGTTTGTAGGCTATAGTGGGGTAGCCCATATGGGGTACAGGTTGCTAGGGTTTGCTATTTGTACCAATTTCTGACTTAGTCATTCCATTCCTCTTCTGATTATTTTCACATGGTATAGAGCTAGGTCCCTCCAGGACCGAATTTTTTTTTTGGGCCCACCGAAGCGCGCCCCGAGGCGCGCCCCTTTTTTTTTTTTAGCGACCCTTCGGGTCGCCCTCTCCCCTGCGACCTCGCCGCCCTGACCCCTACGCGGCCCCGCCGCCTGCCCCTTACGCGGCCCCGCGCTGGCCCCTTACGCGGCCCTGCGCCGCCGGCTCCTACGCGGCCCCGCGCCGGCCCCTTACGCGGCCCCGCGCCGCCGGCTCCTACGCGGCCCCGCGCCGGCTCTCACGCGGCCCTGTGCCGGCTCCTACGCGGCCCTACCGCCGGCTCCTGCTCGGCCCCTTACGCGGCCCCGCGCCGGCCTCCTACTCGGCCCGGCCCCGGCTCCTACACGGCCCCGCGCCGGCCCTCACTCGGCCCTGCGCCGGCCCCTACACGGCCCTACCGCCGGCCCTGCCGCCGGCTCCACCGCGGCCCTGCCCCGGCTCCTACGCGGCCCTACCGCCGGCCTTGTCCCGGCCCCGCCACTAAACAGCAGCCGAGCCGCCCAGCAGCAGCCGAGCCGCCCTGCAACGGCCGAGCCGCCCCGCAGTAGCCAAGCCGCCCGGTACCTGAGCCGCCCGAGCCGCCCGAGCCGCCCGAGCCGCCCGAGCCGCCCGAGCCGCCCGAGCCGCCCGAGCCGCACGAGCAGCCCGAGCCGCCTGCTGCTGACCTACCCGACTCTCCCATCCCGGTGAGGCTTTCAGCTGCTGCCATGGCCACCCCCAATGTTCTCACTTTTGACGCTGAGGGGAGGGCCATTGACTTTGCCGTCTGGATCGAGGACCTGCAGCTGTACTTACTGTGTGATGCGGTAGATGAGGTCTCTCTCTTTGACTTTGTCTCTGGCGCTGTCCCTGCCCCGCCTGCTGATGCTGACTCTGCCGTTCGCTCCAAGTGGGCGACCCGCGATGCTGCTGCACGTCTTGCTGTGCGTCGTCACCTCCCTTCCTCTGAGCGTGCCCACTTTAGTCAGTGCAAGACCGCGCAGGCCTTGTACGACGCTGTAGTTGCGCGCTACTCCTCCCCTTCCTCCGCTACCCTTAGCCGCCTCATGCTACCGTTTCTCTTCCCTGACCTCGCTTCCTTTCCCACTGTTGCTGACCTCGTTACCCACCTCCGCGCTAGTGACACCCGCTACCGCGCTGCCCTTCCTGCTGAGTTCCGCGCTGCGAACCCTCCTCCTATGTACATCACTCTCTAATTTCTCGTCACCCGTCTCCCTGAGTCCCTTCGTGTCGTTAGGGACCAGTTTCTCTCTGTCTGTCCCACCACTCTCACTGTCGACCTCCTTGAGGAGTCCCTGCTAGCGGCTGAGAAGAGTATTGTCGCTGTAGGGGCCTCTCGGGGTGACCCTCGCACCCCCATCTTTGAGGGGTGTGGTCCTTCCCCCCTGCTGCCCTCTGTCGCCTCTGCCGCTGCGGCCGACCTCGTTGGTTTTGAGTCGGTCGGCGCGGCGTCTGCCCCCAGCGGCAGACGCCGCACTGGCAAGGGCAAGGGGGGCAAGGGAGCGGGTGGAGCCAGAGGGGGCGGTGGAGGGGGCGGTGGGGGTGGAGGGGGGAGTGGGGGTGGCGGTGGAGGTGGTGGCGGGAGTGGAGGTACTAGTGGCGGCGGTGGAGGCGGAGGTGGCGGCGGAGGTGGTAGCGGTGGAGACGGTGGGAGCGGTGGGAGCGACGGTCCTGGTGGGGGCGGTGGCGGTGGAGACGGGGGGTGGCGGTGGAGGCGGGGGGTGGCGGTGGAGGCGGGGGTCGTAGTGGCTCGTCCCAGCGGAGTGGCGCTGGGGGTGGTCAGCGCCACCAGCAGCAGCAGCAGCAGCCGCAGCAGCAGACGCAGCAGCAGCAGCGCTCTCGCACCGTCCCCGGCCCTCAGCAGCTCCGTGAGTGGTACTTGCAGCGTCAGCGCGGTGGTGCGCTTGGTCCCTGCCCCTACGTTCTTCGCACCGGTGAGCGTGCAGGGGAGAGGTGTGGAGGCGCCCACTCAGCCCGTCGCTGCTTTGGCCGCCTGACCGACGCTTGGCGTCAGCAGTTTCCGGAGGCCGCTGAGATCCCCCGCTGGGGAGAGCTGTCTAGGGCTGGTGTAGCTATTTATGATCTTGATTTTGATGCTATTCTCTCTGCTATGTATGCTGTGACTGGTAGTGATGAGGATGACTGTTACCGGTGTTTCCCGCCCGATCCGGGCATTGGTACTGCCGCGTCTGGTACTGGTGAGGCTGCTGCTCTAGGTGCCAGTGCGTCTGTACTCTCAGGTACTGGTGAGTCCGCCCTCTCAGGTACTGTGTCGGCTTCGGCCTCTCACACCTTCACCCTTGACTCTGGAGCGTCTCGCTCTTTCTTTAGGGACCGCACCACTCTCACGCCGCTGAGTCGGCCGGTTGCGGTGTCCCTGGCTGACCCCTCTGGGGGGCCTGTCCTGTCTCGCTTCTCCACTGTCCTCCCGTGTCCGGCGGCCCCCTCTGGCACCCTGACTGGTCTCTACCTCCCCTCGTTCTCAACGAACTTGGTGAGTGGTGCTGACCTTCAGGATGCGGGTGTCCACCAGTTCACCCCTGCTCGTCAGCGGGTGACCCACTGTACGGAGGCGGACACAGGTCGCCACCTGGCTACGTTTACACGTCGGCCGGGGTCGAGCCTGTACACACTGACCACTGCTTCTCCTCCAGGTACTGCGTCTGGTAGGGTCCCTTCGTCTGGTCAGGTGTTTGCTGCAGCGTCCAGGTCTGGTCCTGAGTCTGCCCCCTGTTCGTGTCGTCGTCTGTCTCACGAGACCCTCCTCTGGCACCACCGCCTTGGCCACCCCTCTCTGCTTCGGCTCAGAGGCATGGCCTCGCGGGTCCTTGTGTCTGGTCTTCCCCGGTCCCTCCCTCCCCTTCCTCCGGGCCCTGGCCCTGCTTGTGTCCCCTGTGTCGAGGGGCGCCAGCGTGCTGCCCCTCACTCCTCCCAGTTTCCTCCGACAGAGGCCCCGTTGCAGACGCTTCACATGGACGTGTGGGGCCCAGCCCGCGTCTGTGGACAGGGTCAGGAGCGCTACTTCCTGCTGGTGGTTGACGACTACTCGCGTTACACCACAGTCTTCCCCTTGCACAGCAAGGGTGAGGTCACTGAGGTGTTGATCGACTGGATCCGCGCAGCTCGTCTCCAGCTTCGGAAGAACTTTGGCTCTGACTTCCCTGTTTTGCGTCTGCACTCGGACAGAGGCGGAGAGTTCTCCTCTAACCTCCTGAGTGCCTACTGTCGTGTGCGAGGCATCCGTCAGACCTTCACGCTTCCGGACTCACCACAGCAGAATGGGATTGCTGAGCGCCGCATTGGCATGGTCATGGACGTCGCTCGTACGTCCATGATGCATGCGGCTGCTCCCCATTTTCTGTGGCCGTTTGCGGTCAGGTACGCTGCGCACCAGATCAACCTCCACCCCAGGGTCTCTCGACCGGAGACCTCCCCAGCGCTGCTGTGGACCGAGAAGGTTGGCGATGCGTCGGCGTTCCGGGTCTGGGGATCTCGGGCGTTTGTTCGCGACCTGTCTGCGGACAAGCTGTCCCCTCGTGCTTCTCCCTGCGTCTTCCTGGGGTTCCCCCCCGACGCCCCTGGGTGGCAGTTTTACCACCCCACCTCTCGACGTGTTCTGTCCTCCCAGGACGTCACGTTCGACGAGTCGGTACCCTACTACCGCCTCTTCCCCTACCGCACTCCGTCCCTCCCCCCACCCCCGCTCTTCTTGGTACCAGGTCCCCCCCCGGTAGTCCCCCTCCCCCCTCAGGGTCCTGCCCCGTCAGGTGTGTCCCAGGTAGACGCGGTTGAGCCTGTCGAGGTCACTGGTGACTCTGGTGCTGCTGCGGGAGCTGAGCCTGGGGGTGCGGAGTCTGGGGGTGCTGTGCCTGGGGGTGCTGAGTCTGGAGGTGCCGAGCCTGGGGGTGCTGAGCCTGGGAGTGCTGAGCCTGTGGGTGCTGTGCCTGGGGGTGCTGAGCCTGGGGGTGCTGTGCCTGGGGGTGCTGAGCCTGGGAGTGCTGAGCCTGGGGGTGCTGTTCCTGGGGGTGCTGTGCCTGGGGGTCCTGAGCCTGGGGGTGCTGAGCCTGGAGGTACTGTGCCTAGGGGTGCTTCGTCTCGCCGGGAGCCACTCCCCCCACAGGAGCTGCGTGAGTGGTTTGCCAGGCGCTGGAGACGTGCTGCTGGTGCTGGTGGTTCTTCGGCTGTCGAGGGTACTGCTACCACACGTCCTGGCGGTGCTCGTACTGTGGGTGCTGGAGCTGCTGGGTCTGCGAGTTCTCCTGGAGCTGGTCCTTCTGAGGGTGTTGGGGCTGAGCCTGCGGTTGGCGGTCCGACTGACTGTGCTCCTGGTGCTGCTGCTGGAGGTTCTGGAGCTTCTGGTGGTTCTGCTGGAGGTGCTGCTGGAGTGGGTGCTCAGGACGGGGCTGCTGCTGCTGTTCCTGCTGTTTCTGGTGTCGCCGCGCGGCCCCGACCGTACTTCGTTCCGCTCCTGCAGCAGGTTCTTGGTCTTACGCCTCCTCCTGCTACCTTAGAGGGTCCGCGGCCTGTTCCGTCACAGCCACAGCTACAGCCTGCCTCCTCTTTGCCTGCTCCTTCTCCCTACGCTGGTCCGACTGGAGGTCTTACTGAGCGTCGTGAGCCTGCGTCTCGTCCTGCGTCGCCTGTTCGTCCTGAGCGCGCTAGTGGTCGCGGGTCGCGTCAGCGTCCTTCTCCTGTCCCTGGCACGCACCGGATGTCACTGCGTCCTTCCACTGCTCCTCTGCGTGCCCCTTTGCCTTCTCCTCCTGCTTCCTCTCTTCCTGCTCTTGCCGACCCTGAGTCGGACACTCTTCGCGCTGCCAGTCCTACTGTCACGCGTCTCCTTGCTACTGCTGTCAGTGACCCTTCCTTCGAGTCGTCTGCTGCGTCTGCCCTTGTCACTGAGCTTGTCGACTTTGCTGCGCGCTGTCGTCTAGACTACGCTGCTAGTCTTGTTGCTGAGTCTGAGTCCGCCTGTCCTCCGTCCGTCGGGGGTGAGTGTGCCCTTGGCACGGACGTCCTAGAGGACAGGCAGGAGGAGTTCCAGTGTCTAGCCGCTGCTTCACCTCGTCTCGCGTCTGTACTGCTAGCCCCTGAGGGAGACCCGGATGCACTAGACATCCCGACTCCGCGTTCTTACGCAGAGGCCGTAGAGGGTCCCTACTCCTCTCAGTGGCAGGCAGCTATGGATGCAGAGATGGCTTCCTGGAAGTCCACAGGCACCTACGTTGACGCGGTTCCCCCTCCTGGGGCGAACATCGTCAGTGGCATGTGGATCTTCAGGGTGAAGCGGCCGCCGGGCTCCCCGCCTGTCTTCAAGGCGCGTTACGTGGCTCGTGGCTTCAGTCAGCGGCAGGGAGTTGACTACTTTCAGACCTTCTCTCCCACCCCGAAGATGACCACTCTTCGGGTGCTGCTGCACATTGCCGCTCAGCGCGACTACGAGCTTCACTCTCTCGACTTCAGCACTGCGTTCCTGCAGGGTAGCCTGCACGAGGAGATCTGGCTGCGCCGTCCGCCTGGCTTCACTGGGACTTTCCCTCCTGGCACCCAGTGGAGCCTCCGACGGCCAGTCTACGGTCTCCGTCAGGCACCGCGTGAGTGGCACGACACACTGAGGACTACTCTTGCGGCTCTTGGGTTTGCTCCTTCTACTGCTGACCCGTCCCTGTTTCTTCGCACCGACATTTCCCTGCCGCCGTTCTACATCCTCGTGTACGTCGACGACTTGGTCTTTGCCACAGCGGACACTGCTGGACTCGCCTACGTGAAGTCCGAGCTGCTGAAGAGACACACGTGCACAGACCTGGGTGAACTGCGCAGCTACCTTGGCTTGCAGATCACTCGGGACAGAGCACGCCGCACCATTACCCTGACTCAGTCACACATGGTGCAGCAGGTCCTTCAGCGCTTCGGCTTCACGTACTCCTCGCCTCAGGCCACTCCTCTGCCTACTCGCCACTCACTCTCAGCTCTGCCTTCGGATGAGTCCGTAGAGTCGAGTGGTCCGTATGCAGAGCTTGTTGGGTGCCTCATGTACCTGATGACCTGCACACGACCTGACCTTGCATACTCTCTGAGCATCCTTGCACGCTATGTTGCTCCTGGGAGACACCGACCAGAGCACATGGCTGCAGCGAAGAGGGTATTGCGCTACCTGTGCAGTACGTCGGGCATGGGGCTAGTGCTTGGAGGGCGGAGTCCAGTGGTCCTCACTGGGCACGCGGACGCTTCTTGGGCTGACGACCAGGCTACGCAGCGGTCGTCACAGGGTTACACCTTCAGCCTTGGTTCCGGCTCTGTCTCGTGGCGGTCTACTCGCTCGTCTTCGGTTCTCGGCTCCAGTTGTGAGGCTGAGATCTACGCCGGAGCCATGGCTGCACAGGAGCTTCGCTGGCTCACCTACCTGCTGACTGACCTCGGAGAGCCGCCTCGTTCTCCTCCAGTGCTGTACGTAGACAACAAGGCCATGCTGGCCTTGTGTCGAGAGCAGCGCTTGGAGCACAGAACGAAGCACATTGCTCTCCGCTACTTCCTTGCTCGTGAGCTGCAGCAGCGTGGTCAGTTGCGACTTGCTTACGTGGCCTCTGAGGCCAACACTGCTGATGTGTTCACCAAGGCACTTGCGCCTTGTGACCATCAGCGCTTTTGTACCCAGCTGGGTCTTGTACCTGTCTTGCCTCACTTGCTCTCTTCTTGACTTTACTTGTACTTTGACATATATATACCTGCACTTGCTTGTCTAGTTTTATATATATGTCTGTACTCCTGCATGTGAACTGGCCTCTGGCCCTACTCTTGTGCTCGGACTGTGTGGTGACTTTGTGATCCACCCTGAGCTTGTTTTGCTTTGCTTGACTGGTCTTGTGACCCCTTGTTCTCCCCCACTTTGCCTATGGGGGTGTGTCGGAACATTATAGCTGATGCATGTTTGTAGGCTATAGTGGGGTAGCCCATATGGGGTACAGGTTGCTAGGGTTTGCTATTTGTACCAATTTCTGACTTAGTCATTCCATTCCTCTTCTGATTATTTTCACATGTACGTGCATCCGAACGGGGGCATTTGTAAACATTTGAGATGCCCCAGCCTTTCGCCCACGTCCGTGATGTTGTTCCACCACGTGCGCAAGCCTGTTTCTGCACTTCGTCCTCCACCTTCTCACCGAAGCTCTTGAAACCAGTAGTCGTAGGTACCACACACATGCATAAATTGATCACTAGGTTTGTTAACAGCACAACGAACAGCCATGGCGTTGGACATCACCGCGATAGCGATTGCGATAGCGGCTTTTCTGCAATGGGAGGCGGACGACGATGCAGAGACGGACGACTTGCTCTCTCAACTGGCGATGCAAATGATCGACACGGATGATAATGAGGGACCTTCCCGGCCGTCTCAATCCGCCATGTCTACTGAAACCAGGGCACGCAGGGAAGCGACAATGGCGGGGTGGCTGTGTCGAATTGAGGAGATGACGGAGGCCGAGTTTGTGGCGCTGTTCCGAATTAATCGTGCAATAATGGAGCACCTAGAGGCTCACATGACAGATGATTTTTCCCAGCTGACTTTACGCCATCAGGTTCCTCTTCGTTTGTATGTCTTGATCCCCATAAAATACCTTGCTACAGGCATGTCATATCTTGACATGAGCATCTTCTTCGGCGTCCCAAAATCAGTGTGCCATCGCATTGTCGACTGTTTCCTTCTGGCGTTCCCCCGACGTTTTAAGAACGACTGGGTGCGGTTTCCATCACGTGAAGAGATGGTGAAGATGGAGGCGGAGTTCAGGGCAACAAGGGGGGTCCCTAATGTGATTGGCGCGGTTGACGGTACGCATCTGCCAGTGCGCGGCATTGACGAGTACCGCACAGAGTACTATTGCAGAAAGCAAATGTACTCGATGCAGCTCCAGCTCACCGTGGATGCAAGATGCAGAATCTGGGATTACGTGGTGGGCTGGCCTGGTTCTGCACACGATAGCCGTGTTTTCACTAATAGTGCATTACACACACGCATTGCCAATGGCGACATACAACCCTACCAACTACTAGGTGATGCGGCCTACCCATTGAAGGACTACTGCCTCGTTCCCGTGCTTGCAAGCAAAGCTAGGCTTCTGACTGGATGGGAGCAGACATTCAACTACGTGCAGTCGGCTACTCGGATGGCAGTGGAGCGAACTATGGGAAACTTCAAAAACCGTTGGCGCATCTTCGCCTCAAGACATGATAGCAAGCTGTGGAGGGTGTGTGCCGGGGTTCGATGCGCTGTTGTCCTACACAACATGATCGAGGAGCAGAGGGAGTGCACAAAGCGGGCAAAGGGATGGTGGCGCAGCTACACTTCTCGACGACCCAACCGCTGGTGGGAGCGCCCAGGCGTGCAGCGCTTCGTTTGGGAGCCCTCACCAGTCCAAACCAGAGATGCTGCTGTGGCCCGTCGCCGCCATTTCGGCGTGCATATCCACTCGGCATGGCTTAGGCGGCATGAGGGCCATGCGGTCCAGACGGGGAGCCAGTAAAGAACCAGTTCCCATTGCTGTCCATGGCGACCGCGGGTTGCGCCCCTGCATACAGCTGACGCGCCGTTGTCATGTCGTGGCCGGGGGGGATCATAGGGGGCTGCATGGTTGCTGGAGCGCCAGCGGGTCGTTGCGCTGCAAATGGGGTCTGCATCGTGGGGTTGTACCACGCCGTGTGAGAAGGCGGCGTGCCGGCCGAGGTGTGCGCATCAAAATGAGCACGATTAGGTGGGGACTCGTTAGGGTTCCGGGGTGTGGTGACCGGGGGCTGGGTTGGGGCGACGAGGACAGAAAGTGGCGGCACCGTGCTCGCTCAAGGTCAGAGATGAGGCGGTCCATTGATGCGGCCTGCCGCGCCGCCCGTTCGCCGGCGATCCTCGTCATCGTGTCAGCGACCAAGAGGTGCCCCGCGTATGCAGGCGACTCCATGGACCGCCTCGTCACAGCAATGCGGGCCGGAGAAGCATTGGGACCTGATGTTAGGTGAAAGGGTTGGTAGTACGTAGTGGTAGTTAGTATAGTTGTTGCCGATGACAAGATTGTAGCTGTTTTTATTTCGACCCACTGATCATAAAAAAGAGTGCACTTAAATAACAGAAAGACACATTGAGCTTACCTTCATTAGTGGCTGCAGCAGGCCCAACCGATGTAGGCGCGGGCTGGGTACCATTGGGGGCTACGCTAGCCGGGACCACAGGCGTGGAGGTACCCGGGACAGCGTGCTGAGTGCGCGCGCCTCCTTCGTCCACCACGTGCGGATTCGGGGCGCGATCGGCGAAACAACAGTTGAAGACAAAGTCGAACCACTCGGGCTTTGGCATCAACGAGTTACCCGAGGTCGTATCCGCCAACTTGATTTCCTCCATCCTCGCCTTCAACCGCGGCCACTGCTTCATCATCGAGTCCGACGGGCGGCGCCACTTGGGGTTGGCATCGCGTAACACGCGACGAAGCTTCTTCCACGGCTGCGCCCCTTCTTTGCCTTTCATCTTGTCGAAGTCGTCTTTGCAAAACCACATAGCCGCAGCGAATTCGGTAAGCTCTTCCTCGCTCCAATGCGATTTCTTCGATCGACCAGGCGCCACCTTACGCTTGCCTTCACGCGACGACCCAGCCTCCTCAGCAGGCGTGTCTCTGCCCTCCGTATCATCGACAACGTCGGTGCCGGTGTACCCGTCCGAGTCGTAGTATGTGTCGATGTCAGTGTCCACGTTGTCCGCTGCATCAAGGCCATCGTAGTTGTCGTTGTCAACATCAGTGCCAATACCACCACCGTCCACAGAAGGCGAGAACGTCGCCGATGCGGTCGTGACGTGTGGAGCACGGTGATCGGTAACACCTACGAGTTGGCCCTTCCTTATGCCCGCAGCTTCCTGCTCCTTCATCCATGCGACGAACGAAGTGTCAACCTTAGGAACTTCGACTGCTTCCTCTGCTATTGTGGGCGTTACAGCAGCGCGTTTCCTCCTGGGAGCCATGGTTGCTAGGTACTGGAGATCTATTAAAGTATGATAGTTGTAGGTAGCAGCGACTTGCTTTTGTAGTCGAGTGGTTTTGTGCTCTGCCTATTCGGGCTTGAAGTTTTGGGGTTGCGATGCTCCTCCAGGGGACTTTCACGGCTTCAATTTGTGTTTGGTAGGTTGTTTTGCGCGGTGCGGCAGCATTGCCCAAATTCTGGAGTTTGACCGCGAAAGGGTCGTCACTGTGTATGCGCAGTAGTCGTTGAGTTGGCGCGAGTGTCAAATGAACGTCTTGATTGGGCGCGAACCCTAAAGTGTTTGTGCGAGTCGCAATTGGGATCGCGCAGATCGCAACTACAGGGTGTCCAGAGTGGGAGAGTACCCCACTCTGGACACCATCCCGCCCAATATTGAGCCTGATGGGGTGAATTCGATGGCGGGCAAACGTGGGAACGCCATCTCAAATCCCTCGGTCCACCCTGGTTCTAGGCGGTCTACGTGGCCCAGTCCACCAAACCAGGGTGGACCCGAGCGTGGACCCACATGGTACACTGCAGCGGACCAGAGGTGTTCCAAGGTAGCCCCCCCCGTTTTAACGGGCGAATGGGACTACACTGGGGAGACTTGTCTGGCTCGGCGAACCAGTCCACATCGGACCCCTGAATAGTGATGTTTTTGGCGAACACCTGCGAACTTGCCACGGAAGTGTCGCAAAACTTGGCAGTGCACTGGTGAACTGGTGAATGACGGGTGTAAGAGGTGACCACGCTCGTGCGTCATGGTCAAAATGCACTGTATAGTTTTGCGTCATGGTAACCCAGTTTTGGAAAAGTGTACAGTTATGCTCTACTACACGCCACTGTAGATTGCATCCGCGGACCCAACAACAATGAGTCCGAAGCTGGTTCAATCAGCTGGTCCACACTGGTCCGACGGACCAGTCCAGGGTATTTCTCCAAGCACAATTTTAGTGGCGGACCAGTCCGGGGCGGACTCGCGGACCCGTCGAAGTGAGACACATCCTCCCTTTGGCTGGTTTGCCAGTCCGCCCAAACCTGGTCCGTTCATGAATTTGTGCCTACACAAATACCCTGGACTGGTCCGTCGGACCAGGGTGGACCAACCGAGCGAACCAGCTTCAGACTCATTGTTGTTGGGTCCGCAGATCCACTCTATAGTAGCGTGTAGGCGAAAAAAACTGGGTTACCATGACGCAAGACTGTATAGTACACTTGCGCAGCTTCTCCCTAACGCGTTTGGGCGCCAAATTTTTGCGACAGAGAGAGGTGATTTCGTGAGTGTTCGCCAATACTATGATTGTTCAGGGGTCCGACGTGGACCAGCTCGCTGAACCTGGATATCCTCCCCATTGTAGTCCCTTTCGCTCGCTAAAACGAGGGTGCTGGTTTGCTACACCCACGGTCCACATTGCTCAGGGAGCGGGTCCACGCTTGGGTCCGATGTGGTTTGGTGGACTGGTCCCCATTGACCGCATAGAGCCAAAGTGGATCGAGGGATTTGAGACGCCTTCTAAGCTGACTCGGCCGAGTACGGAAGTGCGTAGTTTGGTGAATCTGGTGTGTCAGGCATATACGTGTCAGATTTATATGACATAGCTATTGTAGGCTAGAGTGGGGTAGCACATATGGGGTGCAGCTTTCTAGAGTTTGTATTTGTACCCAAATTTCACTTAGTCAATTCATTCTCGTTTCTTTTCATGGAATCAGAGCAGGTTCCCTAACGGGAACGATTCCTAGGGCCTACCATTACGAATTTTTTTTCTCCTGCCCGGAGCGCGCTCCGCTTAGGCCCAAGTCGCGCCTAGTGTGCTTTCCTTACCTTCGCGCCCTCGCTAGGCCCCTCATGGCCCCATCGCGTCACCCTTAGCGGCCCCTAGCGGCCTCGCCGCGCTGCCCTAGCGGTTGCGTCGCGCCGCCCTAATGGCCACGTCGCACCGCCCTATCGGCCGTGTCGCGCCGCCCTAGCCGCCCTCCCGGCCCCTTAGCGGCCTCTCGTGGCCCCGATCCGCCGCCCTTTGCGGCCCGTCACCGCTCTCACCCTGTGGCCCCTTGCCGCCCTTTCACAGGCGGCCCCGTCGCCGCCCTTACATGCGGCCCCGCCACCTACCAGCGGCCACGCCACCTGCCTGCGGCCCCGCCACCTACCCGCGGCCCCGCCACCTACCTATGCGGCCCCGGCGCCTACCTACGGCCCCGCCGTCTACCTACGGCCCCGCCACCTACCTGTGCGGCCCCGGCGCCTACCTGCTGGCCCCGCCACCTACCTGCGGCCCCGCCATCTACTAGCGGCCCCGCCACCTGCCTGCGGCCCCGCCACCTACCCGCGGCCCCGCCACCTACCAATGCGCCCCCGGCGCCTACCTGCGGCCCCGCCGTCTACCTACGGCCCCGCCACCTACCTGCGGCCCTGCCGTCTACCTACGGCCCCGCAACCTACCTACGGCCCCGCCACCTACCTGCGGCCCCGCCACCTACCAGAGGCCCCGCCACCTACCTGCGGCCCCGCCTCCTCTCAGCGGCCCCACCGAACCGCCCAGCAGCCGAGCCGCCCAGCCGCAGAGCCGCCCAGCAGCCGAGCCGCCCGACAGCCGAGCTGCCCAGCAGCCAAGCCGCCCAGCAGCCGAGCCGCTCAGTAGCCAAGCCGCCCAACAGCCGAGCCGCCCGACAGCCGAGCCGCCCGACAGCCGAACCGCCCAACAGCCGAGCCGCCCAGCCGCCGAGCCGCCCAGCCGCCGAGCCGCCCAGCAGCCGAGCCGCCGAGTCGCCCTGCAGCCGAGCCGCCTGAGCCGCCCTGTCCGGTAAGAGCAGCGCCTCTTTCACAGCACTGCCCTCACCCTACTGTTTGCGCTGCTAGTCTACTGCTGTCATGGCTACCCCTAGTGTCCTCGCTTTTGACGCTGAGGGTCGGGCCATTGACTTTGACGTCTGGATAGATGACCTGCAGCTTTTCTTACAGTGCGATAGGGCCGACGGCCTCTCTCTCTTTGACCTCACCTTTGGTGCTTCTCCTGCCCCTGCTGCTGATGCTGACGCCACTGTTCGCTCACAGTGGGCCACGCGCGATGCTGCTGCACGTCTTGCTGTGCGTCGCCACCTCCCTACCTCTGAGCGTGCGCACTTTAGTAAGTACAAGAGTTCTCAGACCTTGTACGACGCTGTAGTTGCACGCTACTCCTCCCCTGCCACTGCTGCACTGAGCCGCCTCATGCTACCGTACCTCTTCCCTGACCTTGCTGCCTTTCCCACAGTCGCTGACCTCATTATGCACCTCCGCACTAGTGACACTCGCTACCGCGCTGCGCTTCCTGCTGAGTTCTGCGCCAAGAACCCCCACCCCCCCCCCATGTACATCACTCTCTACTACATAGTCACCCGCCTCCCTGACTCCCTTTGTGTAGTCAGGGACCACTTCCTCTCAGTCTTTCCCACCACTCTCACTGTTGACCTCCTCGAGAAGGCCCTCTTAGCAGGGGAGAAGAGCATAGTCGCTGTAGGAGCCTCTCGTGGTGACCCTCGCATCCCCATCTTTGAGGGGTGTTCCCCCTCCCCCCTTTTGCCCTCTGTCGCCTCTGCTGCTGCGGGCGACCTCGTTGGTCTTGAGTCGGTCGGTGCGGCGTCTACCCCTAGCGGGAGACGCCGCTCTGGCAAGGGCAAGGGGGGCAGGGGCGCTGGAGGAGCTAGCAGGGGTGGTGGAGGCGGCGGTGGAGGCGGCGGAGGGAGTGGGGGTGGCGGTGGGAGTGGTGGCGGGGGTGGAGGTGTCGGTGGCGGCAGTGGAGGCGGAGGCGGCGGAGGCAGTGGCGGTGGGAGCGGAGGTAGCAGAGGTGGCGGTGGTGGAGGAGGCAGCGACGGAGGAGGTGGAGCTGGTCGGGGTGGCGCTACGCAGCGGGGCGGCTCCGGTGGTGGTCAGCGCCAGTAGCAGCAGCAGTAGTAGCAGCAGCAGTAGCAGCAGCAGCAGCAGCAGCGCTCTCGGGATATCCCCCCCCCTCAACAGCTCCGTGAGTGGTACGCTGCACGTCAGCGGGGTGGGGGTACTGGTCCGTGCACCTATGTCCTACGCACCGGCGACCGCGCGGGTGAGCAGTGTGGGGGTGCACACCCCACCCAGCGCTGCTTTAGCTGCCTGACGGACGCTTGGCGTCACCAGTTCCCGCAAGCCACTTAGATCCCCCGCTGGGGTGAGCTATCTAGGGCGGGTGTAGCTATCTTTGATCTTGACTTTGATGCTATTCTTGCTGCCATGTATGATGTGACTATTAGTGATGAGGGTGACTGTTACCGGTGTTTTCCGCCCAAACCGGGCATTGAGACTGCTGCTCTAGGTACTGGTGAGGCTGCTGCTCTAGGTGACAGTGAGGCTGCTGCTCTAGGTGCCATTGCGTCTGCTTCCTCAAGTGCTGGTGAGTCTGTGCTCTCAGGTACCGCGTCGGCTTCGGCCTCCCTCACCTTCACCCTTGACTCAGGGGCTTCTCGCTCCTTCTTTCTATACCGCACCACACTCACGCCGCTTGGTCGGCCGGTTGCAGTCTCCCTGGCAATCCCCTCAAGGGGTCCTGTCCTTTCTCACTTCTCCACTGTCCTCCCGTGTCCGGCGGCCCCCTCTGGCACCTTGTCTGGTCTTTACCTCCCCTCGTTCTCTACAAACTTGGTGAGTGGTGGTGACCTACAGGATGCGGGGGTTCACCAGTTTACTCCTGCGAGTCAGCGGGTGACCCACTGCACGGACGATCGCTCAGGCCAGCACCTGGCCACGTTTACGCGTCAGCCGGGGTCGAGCCTGTACACCCTGACCACTGGGTCTCCTTCTGTCCCTGCGTCTGGTCAGGTAGCTGCGTCGGGTCAGCTGTTTGCTGCAGCGTCCAGGTCTGGTCCTGAGTCTGCCCCCTGCTCGTGTTGCCTGCTGTCTCACGAGACTCTCGTGTGGCACCACCGCCTTGGTCACCCCTCCCTGCTTCGTCTCCGCGGCATGGCCTCCCGTGTCCTTGTCTTTGGTCTTCCCCG